TGTTGACGTTGTGATAAGGGAAGTGTGCTGGCGTAGGGAAACTCTGGATGTTCTTACTTTCAGGATTTTATGTAGATGATGAAATCTTCTAAATCTTTATGGCTTTACTCTGAGTAACTTTATTCTGAAATTGAAGAACTATTTGCTCAGCCTCTCTTGAATATTGCAAATTCCTCTGGTTAGATTGGAGATGTTCTTCGATGGAATTCTTTCAGGCATTTCACAGCTTTGCAGTGTTTTGTCCCTCTCTCAACTTGTTTTTAATCGGTTACTGTCATTAAATAAAAAAAATTTTTTTCTTACACAAATTTTAAATTTTTTCAGTGAATGCTTTTTTACCCTTTCCTCCTAGGTAAAGAAAACAAATTATATAAAACCCATCAGAAGTTTCTATCAATATTTTATGTAGTGTCCAAACATTTTTAATCAATTATTTCACACAATTATTAAGTTATGTCCTCAGGGAAATAACATCAAGTTTTACTCCACAGGCCCACTGCAACAGAAGCATAAATCCGCTCTCAGTATGTCGGTGATTCAAAGCCAATTTATAGGATTTGAATTGCTTTTACTAAATGAAGAGCTTAATTTTGTCTGTTTGCTTCGTTCCTTAATCGAACACCTTTTTCAATCGTCATTGTTTCAGTTGTGTGAGAGTCTGTCGTGAAAATTCTGAATAAAAATAGATAGATTAGTTTTTGGAGAAAAGTGCTGAAAGCAAGACCTAAGTAAAACAACATATCTTCAACAATTCAATAAACGTCCTCACTGTGGAAAGAAAGAGAAGTGCTTTTATTCCTAGGAGCAAAGTGGACCCCTACTACCACCATGTTTTAGGGAGAAAAAAGAAAAGAGTTAGAGAGTGCTCCGATGAGGGGTCACAGGCTTTTCTTCGCTGTGGCTGATTGGTGCAGCTCCCGCAATGTCATTTATCCCCAACGTCCAACTTTAACCCAAGTAAAGAAACCAGAGCTGTCACACAGGCTGTGCTTTCTGCTTTTCCCAACAAGTTCACACACTCTCACACACACACACACACCTATTTTAACATAGCCACTTATATCTTGCCTGTACAACACTCATAGCCCTCGTCCAACTCCCGTGTTGTTGAATTGAGAAACTGCGATGGCTGACAGTGTCGATCAACTGGAGTGAAAACAGGGGAGTGAACGCTGGGCCACAGTGAAGCAGTGGGTCAGCAGTTATCAAAACACACAGGGAGATATACTGCTGCTCAAAAATACAGACTACAGAAAAACTCAAGGCTTGGTAAAAACTGTTTCACTGATTGCAACATGATGGGATGCAAAAAAATGATGACTTTTTAACCTATGTTCAGAAATCTTTTGCTTGATGTTTTCAATCCATTACAAACCACTGCATTCATCACTTTGTAAATGATTTATGTCCATAAGTAAGTTTACTTATGGACATAAATCATTTACAAATCATTTTTGCCGTAGTGCAGTACACATCAAGAAAAACGAACTTAAGGCAACATGCAAATGAGATAAAGCTTTTATTTTTAACTTAAATTAACTGAAATTATATTTAAGGTTTTCTATAAATGGTTTGTGTTGCAGGATGCAAGTCAGAAAAGTAACATTTAAATGAACTGTTGAAATTACTTTAAAGCCAATTCGATTATCAGATATGACAACTTTTGATAGATTTTTTTAAATTTTCAAACTTAAACAGCTGAGAAAGTTTTAGATGTATGTCATGACTGATTACCAAAGAAGAGTATTTGAATTCAGCAGATGGTTCATAGTGCAGAAGCTCGTGTTCTTACAGGAACACCTGAGTATGAGCATAATTCAACAGCTCTCTATTTAAGGCACTGCTGCTAACAGGGCAGCTCACCCTCATACCTACTTGACCTGGTGAACTCATAAGAGCCTGCACAGGTAGGGGGATCAGGGACTGATCTTCAAACAGGTCAGAAAGAGGACAGTCAGTGAGCAGGTGTCATTACTCTGCGCACCATCTCCTCCTATAGAGCAATCATAATCCACAGGGGGCTGACCTTTGATCTGACATGAAGCTATAAGTATTTTTGTTCAGAAAAGCCACACTGATATTTTTTTTCTTGTCACAGATGAAAATGTGATTTTGACGTCTGACTGTGAAGGGCTGAAGATATTTGCGTCACAGAGTAGAACCATCCTTCTGGGTCTGTTTTACAGAGTCAGTCGACTAAGAGATGACGCCTACTTTGAAAAACTTGGCATCATGAAACCTCTATTTCACGTGGTGTTTTATTGTTTCATAATTTCATTTTTATTTTTTACTTTTAACTTTAAAAGCACTTTGAAGTCAAAAATGTTCCATGAATGTATTCCTATTCTTCTTATTATTCCTACAATGACTACTTGACAGATAAGATGGCCCTTGTCTCTATAACTGACGGTGTTTCACACTCAGCATACATAGAGACATAAAGTTCTATCTAATCTAACGTAGTGCTTCAGTCTAACTGAGGTGGTGCAAATTCAAACAAAAGAACAAATCCAAAACAGTGCTGTAAAGTGAGTGTATACTTGTCAGGGTGTTGCAATGGTACTATGTCACAATGTCATTCAGCGGGTAGTTTTTTAAGAGGAAGTACAACACAAGTAAAGATCTGGACAGAAGGAAACAACATGAGTAAGAGACACAAACTGCTGCCAGGCGGATTGGATGTAATTCTGTGATGCAGTGAAAAAGAGGCAATAAACAAATTTGTCTCCTAAAATTTTAGTACAGCACCATCACCTCTGCAGCTGCCAACATATCATAATTGCCGACGCTATATTCATCATCATCTTCATCATAATCATCTAAGCATCAAGCTATCATGTGCTGAGTTGTTCTCAAAAAGCTGGGTTTAAGAAGCTCTTTAAAGTAGAAAAGGACTGTGTTAAGACAGCCTTCCTTGTCTTGATGGTTTTGCTAAATAGTAATGTTTGGAATCTATGAGATGGCAATGCAAAACTGCTCATTTTAATGTCATTCTTATAAAATAAAAAAAAAGTTTTTCCTGGTTTCTAGTATAACGGCTTACTGTTACAAATGTACTGGATCTGTCTTTACATCTAAACAGACATGGATAGTGCAGAGGGTCTGTCAGAAAAGACAAGGTATCCTATCTGTCCACTTCTGTCATTTTGAATTATTTGGTGGTTTTAGCTACCTGTGCACATACCTGCACTCTCGCACTGACTCGCTCAGACTGAGCTCAGTATGCTCAGTTTTTCACAAGCTTTGCTATGATTGCTGCACACAAAAAAGGCAGAGGGTGTTTTGATGCAGTTACTGGGCTTTTTTCCCCGTCACTCTCGGTTGAACATGTCCTGCAGCAGTGACGAGACTGCACTTTTGTGTTTGGGAAGAATGACTTTTCCATTTTGCATCTCTAAAAATCAACTCTTCCTCCTGCTAGTTTTGCCAAAGATGCACCTTTCAGCCTGTATCATAAGACTTTCTTTTAAGTCTCTTGCATCGATTGATTCCGAAACACTTTTAACAATGCTGTAATCGATGTGAATTTCAAGATCTAGAGCATGAGGCATTTCATAGCTACTGGATAAAATGGCAGCTCTGAAACTTTCACACTCCAAAAGTACATTTTGACCTTTCACTTTGGCTGCCAACTCGCCGACAGCAACAACACACACCCAAGCAAGTCACCTCATGACTCAACAAGAGACCAGTACCGAGTGGGAGGCTCCTGGTCATTTATTAGTCTGCTAGATGGCTTGGTGTCTGGTATGATGCTGACATTTAGCCCTGCACACAGTAACAAACTGACCTAATTAGTTACATGGACAACAGCAGACACGGAGATTGAGATGGGTCCTTATAGCTACATTGCTTATTTACATCGAGCCGAGCAATAACAAGTTTATGATGCTGCATTTTCTCTTTATGCCTTTTGGCATCTCCAGAAATCTTGATACTGTCAGCACCCACACATGCAAGTGTAAACACCATCAGAAACATGTCCTGTCAGCAGGGCCATAAATGTATTCTTCAACGGATCCAAACTCTGTAACGTGGAGGAAATACAACAACAAAGAAAGGTATATCTTCATCTGTGATTTAGCTTTGATTATTGGTCATATCTTCAGTGATGGTTGTTTATGTTTTATACACGCTTTCATGTGGACAGATTACCACTTATAAAAGAAAGAGGCAACATTTATATCAGAGCAGACCAGGCAGACACACTGCTTTGAATGTATCAGCCAAACAACAACACAATGGCAACCAATATAGAGTGAGACCCATTTATTCGTCTGATAATAAGCAAGATATGATGCTGACATTTGGCAATGTTGACAGCACTCAATAAACTAACAAGAATAAATCGAGTCTGAAAGCAACAACAGATGCAGCAGCTTCTGAATGATGCACAACAAAGATGTAATCAAAAATGATCACAGGACAATTGAAAACACTGTGGGAAACAGCTGTTTGTCATTATGAAGGTAGAAACATGGTCGACACTTCATTATGGTCTTAAACGCTCCTCTCTTTCTTCCATTTTCACACAGAAATTGAAATTGTTATGTTGAATTGGTGAGTGAGAATAAGCTGTTTATATGTCTGGATTCAGCTGGTTTCTAACCTCAAAATAAAATATGCTGTATTTGAAAGATAAAGTATCATCCAGGTAATAGATTATTCCTTTTTTTTTTTTACATTGTTAAATATTTAAGCCAATGAGCTTGAAAATTAAGGGTTAGCCAGAGAACTTAAAGGGTGTAACAAAAGTCAAACAAAGACAAAAGTAAGTGCTTTTTACAAGCCAAATTCTCTTCGAATACCATTTATCTCTGTCCAGTCTTCTTGTAAAGAGTATCATTAAAGTGAAGTTGTGCATTTAGCAGAATCTTTTGATATGGTCTCAGGAACAGTTTGTGGATCAAATACAGTTACTCTGAGGTAAACAAGAAGTTCCTACTAAACGCAAGTCCAAGAACTACTACTACTGCCATTAGGAACTGTGTGCTACAAAGATAGATGTGCTGTGTTGTTGCTGTATGGTAATTCCTCTGTGGATTGGTCCTCTGCTTTGTGCTACAGTCAAATCTCCCAACAATATATACATATACACAAACCAATTTACATAGTTCGGGAATATATTGTTGAGAGATTTAACTGTAGGACAAATCAGTGGACCAATCCACAGAGGAATTACCATACAGCAACAACACAGCACATCCATCTTTGTAGTACACAGTTTCTAATGGCAGCAGTAGTAATGGGATTCTTTTTTTGCCTTTTTTTCATTAGTTTTGTGCCATGTTGCTGTGATTTTTTTCACCTCCAGGCCGCCATCCAGGCATAGTTGTGGTTTCGAAGATACAGGAGATTGTCCACTAATCGGAAGATCAGCATTTCCACCCCGCTTTGGAAAGTCCTTGGGCAGAACATTGGACTCTAAATTGCTGCTGAAGGCTGTGCTATTGGTGTGTGTGCAGTCAGTCTGTGTGTGCTTTAATGGGGTGAATGGCGTATAGTATAAAGCACTTTGATTGGTTGGTACTTTACAAGGGCACTACACAGTGAAGTCCATTCATCAATGTAAAAACCGCCTGTTGGGTTACTCTGAAATGTCTGACAACCACTTTCACTCAATAAAGTTTATATTTTTAGTTGAGTGAGCCTCCCTCTGAACCCCAGGAGCTTTTGCGAGCCTCAGTTTACCGTACAATCTAAACAATGAAGTCACAACCTCTACAACAGATAGTGATATACTTTACAGCTATATATTTCTGATGTTTCTCTGCTTGTTGTGCAGGTCAGTGTTTTTTTGAATGTGTGATATTGTGTTTCAGTGTTGAATGTGGCTTCATAAAACGTAATTGTATTCTTAAAACATTCATTGTAATGATAACAGTTCATCAGAATAAAACAATTCACATCTTGAGGTAGATTTTATTCGTCGGTATAACTCTGCCGGAGGTGAAGAGTGGGTAAGGATGGATTGCACTGTGTAGATTTCCATTTAAGTCTTATCATTTTGTTGTTATTACACCATATGTTTGATAAATTGGGTCCTATTTTCTGCTTCAAATTGCCCTGTGATGTGATTGTATAACAGCTTGTTGGTTACTGGTTAAGAGGAATGACAAAGACCCTCAATATTAAAACAGTGGTTTATAAATCCTGAACAGCCTTGCTGTGGTGGAGGAGTTAATGGTAGGCAAGAAGACCTAAGGTAGGCTCATGACCTTTTTTGCTGGTCAAAGGTGAAGGCAGGGGTACAGTTTGATGAATGAACATCAAAACACCCTCCTCTGCTTTATTCACTTCTGCCTACATGTCCTTGACACCCCCACCCTGCCCCTTCTATGGAGCTGCTGCTCCAAGGCTGACAATCAATACTCACATACTGAGTGTGTTCTGGTTTCATGTAATAGGTAGAATAATATTTCATACAACAACTTAAATTCAACTCTATAAAAAGCAAACATGTTCTGTTTAGCAAGATAGAAATCATGACAAAAGTTTCTGGATTAGATGTGTAACTCTACAAGGGACTGACCTATATAAACCCCACATGGTAATCAAGGAATATGGTGAGTTGGCCATAAATTGAATGACAAAATAGGATCCAATAGATCAAGAATCAATAGAAACAGCATGTAGAATATTTTTGATATTACTTTCAACTTATTTGTAGAGCAGAAAAATTCACATCCATGATTAATGGCTGGCCAGTCAACAGTGGGAGGCAGAGGGAAAGACAGTACAGGAACTAGCAAGGAATATTAAAACACCCAAGAAGGTGAGAAAAAGAGTCATCAATCAAATTGAAGAAAACAGGCACAAAGTAACCATAAACCCCAACAATGCATGCACCTTGGCAGTGCTAGAAGACTTGTCTCTCCTCTCCGCTATGTGTCATGGTCTTGCCTTACCATGCTGAGGTTCTATTTTGCATAAACAGCAGATGGTTTGTAGATACATCATCCTGTACATATCATGTGTTTACCAGAGATGTAAACAAACCACTTAATGTGAACACCAGAGTCCCTGGATGATCATTTGATCATGTGTGTATGTATGTATGTATGTATGTATGTATGTATGTATGTATGTATGTGTATAAAGCATGACATGTGAGACATGCATGCAGACATACACTCAGTAGCCTATGGTGTAGGTTTGTGGGAATGTGTGTGCTGAGTCCGGCACACACATGCCCTACGAAGGCAATCTGTGTGTGGGTGTTCTGTGTCCCCATGATGTGTGTTTCATTTTTGTGGGTGTGTATTGAGCTGAAATCTATATGATGACATTTTAATCACCTCATTAATTATAATTAATTCATACCACCTGCCTCACATCCCCACATGCCCACACACACACACACACACACACACCCACACAAACACACACACACACACACACACACACACACACACACACACAAACACATATCTGGGTAAGTGTTAGTGTGCAGGGCCCCCTGATGCTGCTCTCACTGTCTCTTTTCATTTCTTCACTGGATTCCCAGCTGATTAACCTGAAAGTGGTATTTTTGAGGAGCTTTCACCTGCATATGTTCAATTAAATATGTTTGTATGAGCTGAAGTGTTGTGTCAGCTTGTGTTTTATTTGTTCATTATTATTTTGTCATTTCAGTTTGACAGTGTGGTCAGTCCTGTGATGGATAAATGGCATTTAAATCCATATGCTTTTTATTGTCTATTGTATTGTGTGTTTGCTATCGGGGAAAAAAAGATGTTTTGATTCAGAAAGTGTAAATCAGGACCGTATTCGGTTTTGCTGCTGGATGCATCACTGAAGACCGAGTTGAGTCCTCTCATATGAATGATTAAAAGTGTGTTTAGTTTAAAGTTCCTGTATTTAGTTAAGATATTAAAGCAAATTTCAAAATTTGAAGATGATGTGGGATTTATTCAGCATATTTTACTCACATACATTGAAGCATGACAGACTTCCTGAGAATACAACAGGGAGTAAAAGATGACAGGGAGTAAAATGCTGACACAGTAGGTGGAAACTTCATACAGTGAAAAAAAGGACAGGAAATGACAGAAGGGGAATGAAATGTGTCAAAAACTCAAATAGAAAAGAAAAAAATGACAGGAAAAAATAGCAATTAGATTTAACATGTGGGATGTTTTTTCATGTGTCAGTTGAAATGACGAGTGAACATTACATGTGACAGTATTTTTATGTTATGCAACCACTCGCTGCTTCCTGGATGGCATTTATATATCTTTTGCTTCATTCGCTCCATTGGCAGTGGAGACCAGTGATTGGTCCGATTCCCTCAGGTTACCATGTTAACAACAGAAATGCTTTCACACACAAAGACAGGAGGACAGACACACAAATACAGACTTCTGCATGCATGCATACAGACATCAAATGCCTTTCAGAGTTTTTTTTTTTTTCAAGATTTCTGTTTTTCTGTGTCCAAACATAGAAGGTGGAGAAGAGACTGAAACCAGGAACTTGGACTTTTTGAGGTTTAAAAGCAGATCTGTGGGCTTTTGAAAAAAAAAACACTTAACCTCTGAGAGACAAAAACTCACAAATAACCTCATTTTGAAGACATTTTCTTGTCATGGAGCATTTGGTGAACTTTAACTGTCTCTTTAAAACAGACTAATGTTGTTGATGTTCACTGCAGGTGTGTGAAAACAGGAAAGTCTGGGAGTCTCTTTCCTTAACATTTGAAAAACTCTCTGAGTCATGAGACTCCTCTGTGAAAGTGACCTTTGCAAACACAAAATAAAAATGGCTGTTCTATTTCTATCACTTTTCCTGGCATTGGTGCTCACAAAAAAGACAGAAAGAGAAAGAAAGAATAGTCTGACATGCAACAAAGGTCTGCAGGTGGAGCCCAGTGTTTATATCAGTTATTTTGTGTAGTATTCACCATTACTATTAGGCCAACAGGAGGCTGTTTGTGAAAGAAATATAGAAATATAATACAAATAGAGGACTAAAAATGTGGACTATGTGATTGCAGTTTTACAGACAAATTTGGGAAAGATTTTCATGATGTTTTAAGGTGGAGGGCGAGCATTAGACTGTTATTCAGAAATATAAATCTTATTCCAGAAAACCATTAAAAATGTGTATAGTGAGCACAGATATAGGACAAAAAAACAAGTCCAGTTGTACAAGGGTGTAAAAGCACGCATTGCACCCTCATTTCAATTTCTGCATGCACACAAAAATATTTCTATTTTTTTGCAATATATCGTACACAGGGTAACTAATGTTTTTAAAGTCAACAGTGAGTTGGGTAATGTTTAATACATCTATGGTCATGACAGGTGTGTGACCTACCCAGCATCTCATTTACAGGATGTGCTCAACAACAGGGTTGATCCCAAGGGCTTTATACAGAGATGTCCCAATTTCTGTTATGGTCAATAAACTTTAGAGAACAAATTAAGTCGACGCCAAAATAGAATAAGTATTTCTTGATCATTTGTACTGTAGGGTAAGTACTGGTACTGCTACTCCTGATTTGTTTTTTGCAGGACTGTTTGGAAAACAGAAATGTTTTGAGTCATACACAAAACACACAGGTGCTCCATGATACCAGCCAGCTGTAAAGCAATGTAAAATGTCAGTTAGTGAAAACTAAACACAAAGAGGGGAAATCATCTGTAAATGTGTTTAAACTGAGTATTATTGGTTTATCTTGAGTCCCTTTTCACACACCTGATATAGGACATCAAGGTCCTGAAATTTTACATCTAAGTCTTTCACACATTAAGCTCACAGTGAGAGACCTTCTGCAGGCATCAAACTCTTGTGACCTCAATACTTCGTTTAGTGGAGGTGAGTGTAGAGAACATTTCCACCACACATGCTGGCAGCGGATGTGTGGAAAATCATAAAGATATGAGAATGATTGGAGCCCCTCACTAGGAGCTCGAACCTCTTCATGTCTGAGTCAAAGTGCACTTCAGGGTGTCGGCATCAGCCCACAACTGGCTGTGCAATTAAGGTCTAAATATAGCTTGTTACTTCCTGTGCCTATATATACATAACCTGAGGACACATATACAGATACAAATACTATATATCCATAAACAAATAGAGTAGCAAGCCAATCTTTGTCTTTGCCAGTCTTCATCTTTGCACACTTGAACACAATTGCAAATATTTTCACCTTAACTTCAGCTGTCATTAAAGCACCATATGAGAGCAGGGGGGGACAGCTTGGCT